ACATATACAATTTCTACGGAAGCCCATTAATGCAACAGAATAAAAATAAATAAATTATATATATATATATATATATCACAGTAAACCTGTACATTATTACTGTATTTTATACTTAAACGTCTTAGCTACTAAAGAAGTACTGTGTTGAAGGAACAGACTGAGCAGTGATGCCACAGGACTGCAATGTGATGGAGCATCACTTAACCATTTCTCCTGTGATTTTCTCCTTTGCTATCTTGCTTTCAGAACAAGAACCACCTGAATATTCCCTGTAAATACATCAACCTCACAATGAGTCTCTTCACTGGTTTTGGCAAGTCTTCTTTTCTCCTCTCCAGATCAGTAGGGAAACCATACATTCACATTCCTTTCTGTGAGTGACTGGAGCACTCACATGCAGCACAGCAAACTATAGTGGAGACTGTTCAAGGACAACAGGCTTTATAGTTTATTATAAATGTATAAATCGATTGCTGTAAATAAGTGCATAACAAAAGTCAACATAAATATTAGCGGATTTTATATTTTAAAAACAACACCGATATAACTACATATATATACTACGTATACATTATTTTATAAATAATGTAAATACATTATTTTATTGTCTACTAATTACCAAAAATCACAGTTCTGTCTCTCCAACTCAATGTATTTCACTTGCCCGCTATGAACTTCCTGGAACTATTTGAGGTCTACGTGATCACGTGACGATCGAGCGTTTTGGACTTCCGTTGACGGAAGTTTCTTCTCTTTCTATAGCTCTGATTTGCATGTGCTGTGAGGATTTGCAGCGCGTTTCTTCATTTGCATATGCTGTGAGGATTTGCAGCGCGTTTCTTCGTTTGCTGCATTGTCCAGAGAAAATTGAGAAATTCAGTTCAGAAAACTACAGTGCAGCCGCACTGGGGCCCTTGCCCACATAGCAAGCGACTATATTAATATAAATGAATAACGTATTAATGATAAAATACAATTACCGGTAGTCCCGAGATGCTTCCTAGAACTGAATAAATACATAAATTCGTGCGAGATAGTTGTCTGTGTGCTCCAGTGGTCTAGAAGTTGACCTTTTGTCAAGAATTTCCGAAGTTCCGGGTTCTAACCCACCCTCGTGTAGTTTTTTTTCTCTCATTAAAACCAAAGGTGTTCATCAGTGAGTGTATATCAAGAGCAAGGACATGTTTGTGTGCATTTTGTTTTGTGCTTTTAACAGAACAAAGCGTACGATCGTCTGTGTGAAGACTGCGCACGAGTGCCAAGAGAGAACCGATAACAGCAGCAACGAGCGCTCGAAACTACGCAAATTATTCATTTATAATTGCGCATTGTGCAACGAGCGCTCGTCATAACACATTCCAGCGATAGATCGCCTGTTGTTTAACACAGACCAACGAATTTGTTATCAAATGGAGATGTTTCTTTAGGTACATACGTGCGTGCCGCGAGATGTTGCAAAAAGTGGCGGAGGGTCGTGGGGACACACGTCCCAACCGTAAATAAAGATATAACACCGAATGTTTTATTTGTTATGTGTCATTTCCACGACTTTCCAAAAGAGGAGAAAAATATTGAGATTGACATGTCAAATTTGCGTCACTCCCTCAGCCGTTGTATAGAAACACCCTGGCAGCAGAGCTAATTCTTTTCTCTTTTTTTTGTCATTTATGTGGGGTCTCCTCGAGGCCTATGTAATGTTAAAGTGATTATATTGCGTTTCATTTTTAATAAAGTTCATTTAGAAAAACGTTTGGAGCATTTTTTGTTCGTTAAATGTAAGGTTTTTTTAAAGTAACGACCAAGCGGCCAGCGGCAGACAGTGAGCTGATCATAGCCTATGTTTGATCAATTTAGCCTTCTCAAATCATCACGACTTGCCTAAAATAAAATCTATAGATATAAAACAGTTTAAGCATATCACAATGTTAGTTTAAATGTTTAAACGATATAAATGTGCGCTATTAGGCGCATATCTAATCGTGAGGCACGTGCACAGGTAGGGCTCAACCTGTGCAGAGCACATGCCCTTTTTGCCCTTACACTCCGAAGTGCCCTTTTTTTGGTGATGGCGTTTCTTTTTCCCTTCAATAAATCAAGGATATTGGTCACCCTTTACATCTGTCTGTCTGCTTTACAAATATTTAGCTAATGAAAGGTATTAAAAAGAGCTCGTGACTAAATCTTGTTGGATCCGCTCAAACTGTCAGTAAACCTCATAACTCCACCCCCTCTATCTTGACTGAATGAACTGAAGTTCCACAGCAGCTGAACTAGGTCTGCAAGGGTAAAGAAAGATCTTGTTGTGCTTCATAACCGTGCACCCCAGGGGGCCCGTTGTAATAGCATGCACTGGGGCCCGTCATTACTAAGTTACGCCACTGAATCTGAGGTGTGGGAAACACTGGGACCACACCAGGAGTGAGCTTCCTGTTCTTGAGGGTTGGAAGTTTCCCACAATTCAGTTTAAGGGAAATGATGAGAACGTCCTGAGAACCTTTGCCTGCTTTACATTTATGTGTGAGTGTGGATATATGACAGTTTGCATTATTGGGTACATATTTAATAAATAAATAAAAATGTTGGGAAAAACAAAAAATAGAAACCTAAAAAACTACATTTCCCTTGGTCCTTCGACAAACATAGGACAGGATTGGCTGGTGACAGCCCAATAAGATGACAGCAGGGACATATGGCTGGATAACCTAGTAAGATCCCACAGATGGTTGTCAATAGGGACAAATCTCTCCACGGAGAAATAGGTGTGACAGCTGATGGAAGGTCCAGCACAATCATTACTATCTGAAGTCACATGAACTCCCTCCATATTATCCTTCTGATCCCCTGCTCACAGCCTGTAGTTTGCTGTGTGTATGTGTGTGTGTGTGTAGAGGCAGAGGAAGGGAGGAAGACAGGGGGAGGGGTGATTAAGTGGGGAGGAAAGGACACAGAGGAATGAGAGGCAGAGAGATGAGCCCGGCTTACACACAGCAAACACATGAGTAACAGGAGCAGTGCGTGAAAGAGCGGGCATTTACAGAACACATTTCCCTGACCCAGAAAGATGGGGAAGATTGTGCACCTATTTTTTTTTTAAACAAAGTCAGCGAGTAACAGCAGAGGGGAGGAGAAAGAGGTGAGGTGGAGGGGAGATCCTGTGCTTTTCTGGACATTGGTGACTTGACTGTTACAGTGAAGAGGAGTCAGAGAGACACGAGAGGAGGCACACAAGGGGTCATGTTTTTTTTGTTGTGAGGCACGATAGCTTGTGTCTTCTCTTCTGGAGTATGTGCGTGTGTGTGTGAAAGATGTCTGAAGAGTATGACAGATGAGCAATACCATGTCAAGAACTAGGAGTCGGGGGAGCACTCACTGAAGAAATGGCTCAGGTGAGGAGGTGACTGAGGGTGGGTCACACATAGATCACAACTCTTTATTTTGTGAGAAAGAGAGATGCACGCATACTCATGGCTTTAAACAAATCTCACAACAGATACAGCATGCTGGGAGTGTGTAACGTGTTTGCTCAGAGGAGTAACAGTGTGAGAGAGGTGTGGGAAGGAAGACTTTAAAATAAACATTATGTCATAATGTTTAATCTGTATGCAAGGACTACAATGAACATTTTGCCACACCTGCCAGTGGCTGGTAACTTGGGAAAATGTACAGACCGTGAAACTGTATGTGCATTATTTCATTAAAAAACAGACAGAACAAATTGGGAAACACATCTAATTGCAATTATTATTATTATTTAATCAAATAATAAAAATTAAACATTATCAACAAAGAAATAACACTATAATACTATTTGATTGTAAAGTATTTAATAATAAATTTAAGTGAAATAATAATAATAATAATACTTCCATTTATGGTTGCAGTTTTTTTCTTTCTTTCTTTGCTTTCAAACATCAAACCATAGAGCTTTTATTTTGGTGCAAAACCGCAAGGAAACTTCTCTTTTAAATTGCTTCTCTTTTGTCGACATCAGATTTATATATAATTTTAATTAAAAGTTGTGAAGATATTTGCCGCATGTTACATTTTAAAATGCTAGTTATAAGTGACTTACAACACTTGCAGAGAATTTGTGTGGAGAAGCATTTACTGTGAACTGTTCAGAGACACTGAAAACAGCTATCATGAGCAGCTCACAAGAAAAGATCACAGTGATTCACTAAGAAACTGGCAGCTCATCAAATTACATATTTATTTAATTACAACACAGTCTTTGTAATTTCGTCACCTTGGAATTATAAGGTTCTATCTGACATTTTTTTTTTTTTTTTTTCAAAATTGAGTTTTTCACATATTCTTATTCTGTGACAACTTATTTACATTATGTGATGTTTTTTTTTTTTTTAAGTTCTGTACATTTTGGGACTTTTTATTTAGAAAACAAAAAGGTTCTATCTACAAAGTCGAACTCTAACTTGGTTCTATAAGGTTCTATCTGTGAGCCAATCAGCACTTTGAATGGACACAAGAGGGCCAAACAGAATCAACTTTCTTTGTAAGATTTCAAAAAGTTTTTAGTTTTTAGTCATGTAAACAGCCCCTCGTTGAAATTACAAGGTTGTATCTGACATTTTTTTCAAAATTGAGTTATTCACATATTCTTATTCTGTGACAACTTATTTACATTATGTGATTTTTTTGTTGTACATCGTGTACATTTAGGACTTTTTATTTAAAAAACAAAAAGGTTGTATCTACAAAGTTGAACTCTAACTTGGCTCTATAAGTGAAGTGACGTGTGGCCAAGTATGGTG